GAGTGACATGTATGTATCCAGTGGATATTATTACTATCGCCATGAATAGTACAGAGGTCAACTGCTTGCTCGAATACACCAATCCGCCCAGAACTGGAAATGGTCAAGTCAAGTGCCTTTCTCTCCGCAGGCAAACAAATCGAATTAAGACGGTGACTTCATCCTACCAGAGTCCAACTATGCAAATTTGTGTAATCAATATTATTGCAGAGAGGATGAGGCTGGCAGACAAAACGAGCCATTTTATCGTCAAGATATACAAATAAATGCTCTCCTCCTGCCTGCCACCAGCTCCCTCGGCCCGTTACTAATACGAACCCAGAGTTGTCTTCATCTTTTCCTTGTTATTAAGTAGTTAAGTTCCATCAGCGGAATTGCGAACGCGTTATTATTATATGCAAAACTCTCGCGGAGAGTTAAAATTCAATCCAGGTCCAAATTTTAATCCCCGTTTGATGGGATGGATGCAGGGCCGATAAAAAACAAAGGGATTCTCCCAATTAGATAAGGGCTTTGAGAGGAGAATTAGGCAGGGAGGAGAAGAAAGAGAAAGCCAGGACGGTGCCAGGAGGAAGAAGAGGAAAGTAAAAATAAAGTGGCCACCGCATCCACCACAATTTTCTTATATCGCGTATCTCCCTCCCTCTCATTCCATATTTTAATATTCTTTCCAACCAATTGTTCTTCATCTCCTCGTCCTCTTTTTCTCTCCTCGTTGGAGGACTGGCTGACTCCACAGCCAGCCAGCCAGCATGATGGGCCAAAGATATTATGGAAATTCCTCAAATTCTTCAAAGGAAGATGAAAGAGAGGAAGAAAACGAGGATGATGATGATGACGGTTACACACACACCAAGCGGAGCTCAAGACGGAGTAAGTATGTGCAAGAGAAACTCTCCAAGTCCTGGGCGTCATCATACAATCCGATACTACAGCTTTATCCTGATCCTCGTCTCCGTCTTCGTCGTCGTCGTCGTCCCCTGGCTGCCTCTCACTCCTTAAGCTCCGTGGAGAAAAGTTAAATAAGTGCGAGGACTCTGGGTGAGTGAGTGACTGCGGAGGAGCAGAAGATGAATTATTATGATCCGTCCGTCCGGATAAAATGCATAAAAGAGATGATGCTGATGTCATTCTTGGAAGGAGAAAAGGATACCAAGAGATGGAAGCAATTTGCCTAATCCGTTATCCTCCCAGCTCCAAACCAGCACCCACTTATCAACTATTTAGTCTTTGTCTTCATTCCGGATAAACTCGCTCTCTCCGTCCGTATGTACGACACGGGGAATAAAATAAATCGCCAATCCTGCTCCCCACTCGAGTGAATGTCTACCAAAGTTGTTATTTTACTGACTGGAGGCGAAATCCTGCCTCAACTCAACTGCCAGAGGTTAGTTAGCTGGTTGGGCGTGTGTATAGTTACATATTTAAGCGAGTGAGCCGGGTCACCACTAAATTTACAAATCCATGTCCACGTTTCTCCACTTTACACACACTCCCAGTTTCTGCTTAAATATTGGTCGGAGAGGTTTGCTGATTCCGGGATACGGGTTACTTGTCGAATCCTATGTCGTCGAAAAGGTAAGTCGTCGAAATCAACTTGTCGAATGGAAAACTCGTCAGAAAGGCAAGTCGTCGAATTTAGGTGGCATGAAACTCGTCGCGTTTCATGTAAGATTTTTACTGATTTTACCTACCAATATATAATGAGTTCACAAGTATGCACAGCACATGTGCATCGTGGGACGGATATACGCTGCGAACATTCCAAAATACCTAAAACACTATACAGCAGTAATTGGGAGGATTGTTTTGTTCTTCTCACCCTTACATTTTACATTAAAAATGTCAAATTACTGTGACGAACTAATGTAACGCAGCAAAGAGAAACTTAAATTTAAAGATAAGCTGTTCTGATGGATTTTGAACAAGCTGAGATAAAAGATGTACACGACACGTTTCCAGACGCCGTACTTCAAGGGTGTCATTTTCACTATACTCAAGCGTTGTGTAGACATTTGACACACAATTTAAAGAACCAGTACGACCAAGACGTTACAATGGCATTATTAATAAAAAAAATATTCGATGTCTCATTTGTTCAGCCCGATGATTTAAGAGTGGCATTCCGAGAATTGAAAGTATCGTTCAATTTTAAGGGTCAAACTAAACTCGTACTGGATGATTTTTTAGTCATGTTCAAAAAACCTACATCAGTACAGTGTACGATCCACCAATGTTTCAATACTCTTCTGGAATGTGCACCAACGTGTATTAGATAAAATTTCCACAACCGATAATGCAGTGGAGACCTGGAACAGGCGGTTTGGCATTCTTGCTGAGAGTTCTCATGTAAATGTTATTTTATAAAATTATAATTTATATTTAGAATCTTATTTTATTGAAAAAAATACTCTCGACAAGTATTATTTTCGACCACTTGTCCAATGGACGAGTTACCCTTCAGACGACTCGTCCTCGACGAGTGACTCTTTCGACGACCATGTTTTCGACGAGCTACCCTAGACCCGCTGATTCCATTAGGCGAGGTAGAGAGGTCAACATTCAGAGTTTAACTACTTTTCTAACTTGTGTATGAATGTATTTCACGCCGCCAGCGAGCAACCGGAGTCATCATCATCCTGAAATTTATGTCCTGACAAGTGGTATGGATTGGCTTTTTGGCTGAAACCAAATCCGCAGTGTAGGCACATCATTATATTGTGGTTCACGTCACATTTGCTGGGACGAGAATGTGGTGTGTCCGTGAATGATGATGCCGTTGGTCTCTCACTCATAAGCAGCGAGAAGGGGAAAATCAAGGATTCGATGATGATGAGAGATTGAGAGATGACACATGTTCCAATGTTCTCAATGCTCATCTGTTTACTACCGAAACCAATAAAACGTGTCGCATAAATAAAAAATAAATGGGAAAAACAAGTTGAACTCTGTAACTTATGGGGATCGTTTCGGTTCGGGTTTCTGCACAAATATTATTCCGTTCATCAGCAAGATATAGCCGTAGATATGTAGATAGATGTGTACCCACTCACGAGGAGAGATTGGATCGTGAGGAAGAGTACGCAAAATTCTGGTTGCAATAAAATTGCAGCACCAGTATCAGAGTCATCCCGAACTCATCGATGTCATCAATTTGTCTCAACTTTGGAGGCCGTGGTGCATTTAACAGAAATGTGTGTTCCAGATTTAATCTAATCTTGCTGCGTTTTATGTGGTTTTGGTTTTGAACCAGATTTCTTGGTGCGGAATGAAATCGGTTTTTGGGTCATTTGCATTTCATCTCAAGCCAGGGAATGTAGGCGGGCGGATGAGAGATACGTACGTGGCGTGCAATTATCTACGTACTCGGAGTATGCGGAGAGCAAATCTATCTCGGAGATGGGCTTCGTTGCTGATTTATTTCACGGAGCGAGATTGACTTACGAAATACGATCGAGATATCGTGAATGGCTACATAATTATCTACGTCGCTATAAGTATATTTCGCTCTAGATACATTTTTGAGCTGCTTCGGCGTCTCAAGTAATGGACACACGCCGTATGCCGTTTGTGGTGCGTGCGTATGTACCACTTCCTGAGGGAAGACCTTCATTGTCCTCGGCTCGGAAGAAGGCTCATCATTTTTGGGCATTCGGAGAAGAAAGAAGATCAAAGCGGAGTAATGATAAAGGGCTGGCCGTCGTGATTCAGGGTGGACGCATACCCAACACGTAATGGTGCACAGCGTTTGAGAGGAAATTCGATAAAATTTTGGCTGAAGAAGAAGGAATGATGATACGTACGAAGGTACGAAGGAAGGACTGATGAAATAAATGGGGACAATTTGTGTGCCGACCGGACAGCCTTTGGTTGGTGATGTGGATTGTCAAATGGAGTAAAATTGGCAGTTTCGATTCTCAATAGCACTATTTTCCTTCGCTCTCCGCCAGAGTGAAAGGAAGACAGGAGGACGACGGGTATATATAATTCGGTAGGACTCAAATAACCATCCATCCACCGGGCATAGCTCGAATGCTTTCTCTTTTTCCCTACCAGAATACCCGGGCAGACTTCTGTCAAATCCTGTCCGTAAAATAACGTCCATCCAACCAGCTCGTAGCAGGAATAAGGAACTAATTTACATTTGAACAAGTGCCGCATTTCAACCAACATCGGAATCGCTTGACATTTGACATTCCATATTCCACTCGACTCGTCCATCCATCCATCCGCTCATTCTGGCTCTCTTTCTCCATGCACGGCCATTCCGTCCATCCCCGAACTATGGAGTGGAGCACCTTCACCTTTTACTATTGTTATTCCATCCACACTGCGTCCCAAGTTTCTCCCATTAATTCACCTCTCAACAGCTCCAACCAGAGCAATTATTATCAACCAACTCTCTGTCACATTCATGCCACAAAGCCGGAATATATCCTTTATGGTCACGTGTGTACGTTCCGTTTGTGTGTGGAGCAGCAGCAGACTTTCCTGCCTTTCTCCAAGCCGAGCTTATGGGTGGCTCACCTTGTAGGACGGGAGATCGGGAGGACTTGGAGCTGAGTCCATTAGCCACGGAGAGAAGAAAGGACGAGAAAAAAGGGGCATGAAAGCAAAGTGGGCAGCTTAGCTGGGCTCAAACCGCTGGCTTCTTCACAAAGCAATAATAATGAACAATATATTTAACCCAGTGGCAAGTTGGGGAACGGGGTCGTGGTGATGGGGCCCATGTGTGGTCTACCTCGTCTTCAGAGCACACAAAGTCCATTGTGTCCAAAAACTTGCCTAATTCCTTTGTTGTTTGGTGACATTATTATTATTATTATGCTTCTAAGCGGAGAATAAGGAGGCGGAGAATGGGGAAAGTTTGTGTTTGTTGTCGTCGCCGTTTAAATTTATCCCCAAATTACGCCGCACTCCATCCATCCATGCATTGCTTGGAAAGAGTAATGATACGGCCGACACTGTAATGATTGATGGGTGGATGAAAGTTTGCTTACCTCGAGGGGCGGGCTCTGGTAGGGGTTCGCAGTGGTGGACGCTTTGTCAAAGTCTGACATGAGATCCCCCATTATTTTATCGTTCGGGAAGGGTGTGGAACTCGTCGTGTCATTGTCGAGGAGAAATTCCACAATGTCCGTCGATCCGCCGCCGCCGCCGCCGCCCTGCTGCTGCGGAAAGAGGAGGAGGTCTGAGAGAAGGAGACCACTCCCACCACTACTGCTCCCACTGCCACTCCCACTGGAGGCACCACCCTCGGATTTGTTCATCGTTGTCAACCCCACTGCGACCTCTGCTGCTACGACTACTGCTCCTGCTGCTGCTGCTGCTGCCCGTGCTGGAGGAGGAGGGCGAGGGCAAGGACAAAGCCGGCTTGAGACTCATCAACACGGAGACAAGGGTTCAGCATTACGCGACAACCAACCCCACACTTTCACCCGCGCCCTTTTCACTCACAATTTGTGCACTGGGTGGGGGGCGGGTAGAGCAGCAAGGACATGACACGGTCCGAACTATGATCTTATATTTATTTATACGCTATGACGACACTCCTTCTCGAGAGAGAGAGAGAACACGGCAGCTTGATGCGAATGTATTCCTCTCGACAGCGTCAAACTCAGATCTGACCACAAACCGCACTGTGTAATAATTTGTCACTCCCAGTTGTTCACACTTTTCACTGTCTTGTCATTTCACCAGTCCAGCCAGCTTCCGCTTCCGTGTAACAAATGGAGTGAATTCTTTATTCTTCTGCTCTTGGCACCTTTCACTGAAAAACGACTCCCCAGAGAAGTTCCCTTTCAGCATCCGTGGTCACTGCGTCATTAGGAACTAGAAACCCACCACACCACGACCACCACCTGGTCTGCCTGTCTCCTCCACATAAAATTAGTCACCATCCGCAAAAAAACGGTGTTTTAGACCAATGTCCAGAAGAGTTGTTGTGTCCGAATAATCTGCAAGCATAAAACATTCACTATTTATTTATTTATTTATTTATTACTGCTTGTCACAATATTGTTATTATTTTGCAAGCTTTTTTTCTCTGAATTATTGACGCACACGAAGTCGAAGAGATTGTGACAAGTCGACTTCATTGCGAAGCTCTCTGACCCCGAAGTACAGCATGTACAAACTAAGAGCTCAACGTCTCTGAGCTGCTATAAATGAATAAGAGGAGCTCCGGCGTTGCATGTTTTGTAAGTTGATACCATGTTGATACACAAGCAGGCATGCCTGGCAAGAAGAAGAAGGAAGAAGGAGCAGAGCATAAGTTGTAATCAATAAAAATAAGCATGAATAACGTTAACTAAAATATTGTTGTTTGTTACTTTACTCTCTCTCTCTCTCTCGTTTAGCGGAATGTGCGAGTAACTTGTGAAGGGAGGAGGAAGGAGCATAATACGTAATACGACATAATACATAAGAAATTGCTACACACAAGTCGGAATGCCAACGAAGCGTTGCGTCACTTCAACTCCACCACTCCAATTTATGCACATGTTGCGAACTGGACAGCATTTCCACTCGAAGGAGACAGTCTTTTAATAAGACGACATTTAGTTCATATCTTTTTTGAATCAATGCCTCAAATCTTGCTTGTGGCAGATTAAACTTCTTCTTCTTAATCCATTTCATCATCAGTCGTGAGCAGATCGAGGCACGCCACAGAACTCGTTGCCACCAAAAAGACCACCGAACATTACGTATTATGTGATATCCGTCGTCACTAAATGTCACTTTTTCTTCCCCGCTGACTTGTATACGCTCCATTAATATATTGCGGTCTAAATAAACAGATTTAATGACGCTGAGTAATAAATATCTCGTAACTCCAATCCCATTAAACCGTCCTGCATGTGCGCTCCAACACTGTGCATGTCCTACAGAGAAGTGTATATGCTCTACATGCAGGAAGGCAACCAGCGTGTTTAACTAACTGACTAACTAACTAGCTAAACGAACGTTATGGGTCAAATTGCTATTCTAAATGAAAAATTGCTGCTGCATTCATTTCATTTTTTTCCATATTCAACCTTTATGGGCAGGACGGGGAGTTTGAACATTTTTCTGGTCACCCACACCACGACCAGGTCAAAGTGATGCAGCATAAACCCACCCATTCATTCAAGCAACATGTTTGGACGAGGTTTCGGATTGACATGTACACCCATTTCGTGTATCGCCCAATTTGTTGAGGAGGAAAGTGACGATCCTCGAAAAAGTGTTCTCCACTCATTTTTAATCCCGTTCCTGCCTCGATTCGGTTTTTGCTGTGTGTGCGGAGCTATCCACTCGTGAACACGGTGGCGACGATGGAGTCGGTTTTATATAGTTCTGTTGGGTGGGTGGGAGTGTGTGCTTGTCCATAAACACTTCTTTTTTATCGCCGCTGCTGCCTCCAACAATCCAACCAACGCGGTTTGCACTCAACCAGTGAGTCGACTTATAACCATAATAATTCGAATCTGGATGGATGGCTGCATACTTTGCCTCACTAACAACGACACGAGCCGTTACGATGACATGTTTTATATTTATGTTTTATGTCGTCACCTCGGAATCAAACCAGTAAAAATTGCCCCATTAAATTAAAGCCTACAAGACTGTGACCCTCGCCTCGTGGTCTCCTCCTCGCGGGCGGAAGAGCTCATAAGCAAAGTCAGAAATGATGACACGACGATTAAACCTCTCGGATACAAGTGTCCAATTCGTGGCTGGGCGTTAAAAAATGTGTCAATACGAGGAATCATGCCATGGTTAACGATCCGACCTCACATGCCAAACAGTGTTAGTCACAAGTTGTATAGCATCATCATAATCATGGCCATTAAATGGGGGGAAAAGAATACAATGCAGTGTGCCCGACCGACATTGTTTGCCTGCCATCATCACGACTCCGAAATGATTGACTGGTTGGTAATCAACCCGCAGATTCATCCTTTCACTCTCACCACGAAATTGATGAAGATTAAGTGCGAGGAAATTGGTAGCGTCACAACACGGCTCTGCCACTCTCTTTGGGGAGTGTGTGCATGGAGTCCTCTTTTATCGCCACGTCACCTCTCCATTTTTAAATTAATAGCGAAATAATAATAATAAATGGCCAATTTCATTTTATCCTCGTCGTCCCCGTCGTCGCCTCCACTTTATTGCCATCGCTTACTCATTTTTACAATCCAGCGTCATAATATCTCACTCAGGAATAAATTGGTGATGGATCAGGATAAAAGTGAGACTAGAGAAATTACTACCACGCGTCATACTCCGCACGTACTTATGCCCCGTACTCGTAAAGATCCAGTAAAAAGCCTCCACGTAACGACCCCACATGAATTTAGGCTCCCCACCCAGGAATTTGTTGTGTGTGTGTGCACTAATTTATGGAAAACACATCCACACGTGAGATGGGCAATAAGATGTCGTGATGAGGACACCTTGCATTTCCTCCTGCCCCCCAGAGGACGGTCGACAACAACGGAATGATTGCACCGGGCTTGGCACGGGTGAGGATAATGGGCCACGTCGGTATTCTTTAGTCCCGCATTCCTGACTCGTGCTGCAAGTACTTGTAAGTAATAGGATTTCGCCTCCCGTGTCTACTTGCAGGTTGCATATGTACCACTTCCCTCAGGCTCCGCTCAAAAACTTTGCCATTATTTCACGAGCTAAGCCACCTCTGCTTTTATTAACCGAGTGGCATTATTGCTCATTAAATGCGAGCTGGAGAGAAGGCCAGGAGCGAGTGAGAGGGCATGGAATGAAATAAAGGAAAAGTTAGCAGGCCTCATCATAATCGTGGCACAAACTGAACCTGCTCGAGCCCACAGAGACACACGACAGGTTTGTTTTTGCAAATTCTCCATGCCTTTGGCTTCCTCTGTTTGTGGTGTCCTCGACGAATGCGTCTTCTCGAGACCTCTTTTTTGTTTTACTACTTTCTCTCCTCCACGCACACATGTTGTCTTTTCCTGGGGCTGGCTTCCTCGTCCGTACTACGCTGGCTTGCCTGGGATGATATCGATCTCCGCAGGACATGGAGCAGCAGGACAAAGGAAACCTTAGCAGTGGTCGTGGTCGTGGTAGGAGAAAACCGGGTGGAAGTTGGTTGTCGTCGTCGTCGTCGTCGTCACAAGTAGCGAAAAGAAGAACCATCCAGCAGAATTTATCCAACAACTGGTTTGGCATTCATCGCATGCAGTTCGTAATAGCGCTTGCCTTGTGTTCTCTTTCCCCACCAGTGCTCTCACCAGCCCATGCTCTCTCCTCTTCCATTTGTCTCTGTGTTGTTTGTTTTACATGAAATTGGAGTGGAAAACGATACTGCCACTGAACCACCGCAACCCAGCGGAGCAAGAAGAAGGAGAAAGTACAAAACAAGCCTCCTCCCCATGCCAAGAGCCACCACGGAGAGATAGCTACTCCACGCTCCCACCTACTTCCTGCATCCATATCCATGTATCTATGTAGCTAAATATGTGTGTGTGTCTGTATGTGCATATGGACGGGATCATCCTCTCCCACACTTTCACTACCAGCAGCTCAAGAGAGAGATGCACTTCTTCTGCATATCAAAAAGTAAGCAACCCAGCAATCCACCCAACCCCATCAAATCCCAACGGGGAAATCCTTCCAGGAAACAAATATGGAAACAGCAGCAGCAGCAGGATAAAAACAACCATGAGCCTGTAATTCGACACACACATAGTTTTCGTTGGATTCGACATTTTGCGTCAAACCCTGAAAATACATTTCACTTTATTTTTTTCTCGTTTTTCACTCCCATTCACCTCCTTTTCCTTTCCTCCTGCCTGCCATTGCTCTCCACTCTTTGATCTCATGGCATCAAGTGGATGGGAATAATCGGAGCCAGTGAATTTAATAGAATCGAAACAAATGATCGCCCTGTTAATGCGGCAATTATAGTTGTGGGGATTCTCACAAATGATAATAAAATGAGCCAGCGGAGAGGAAGGCGGAATATAAACCAGCGAGTCTCATCTGCCACCAGCTCGACTCCATACAAACGAACGTACGTATGCCTACGACGAGCAAGTAGCGAAGGAAGGATGGGCTTTGTTCTTGCATAAACGGGAAAATCAAGTGGATCAATCTCCCCCATCGCATCATACATCGCCCTCAGACTCTCAGGACACAAGGCAGCAGCAGAGAATCAAATAACACTTTGATTGTTTAAAGCCTCAATGAAATGGTGGCAGGATGAGCGGAATAGCGAGAGAGAGAAAGTCCAATAAAATTCTCTCCGTCCTCCACCACTTTCCCCTCGACTGCACAGAGAGAGGTGCACCTACAGCCAAAGACAAGTGCCAAAACCTTTGTGTTTCCTATCATCAAATAAATTAAAGTCCTCGTCGTCGTCGTGTTCGCCACCTTTGTTCCTGAATGACGATGGAGGGGGACTATAGCTCCACGAGATGATTTTTATCCAATAAAAAATAAATACTTTTATCCGCCAGGACCGAATTCCGGCCAAAAATATCGGAATTCTGTTGGTATTTATTTTGTAAATATCTCAATGGCCTGAGCCGGATTGATTCCGGAATTCTCTGAAAAACTACTGCGTGAGTGTGTATGAGATGAAATATTATCGTCGCAGGGTGTTCATACATTCGCATTCCTTCCATAAAACAACCTCCTCTGGGTGGATGGGAAAGTCAATAAATTTCCCAATTTGAGCCCACTAAATTCCTCATCCGCTTTTTAACCATTGCGTGTGCATTACACGGCAGGGTCGTCGCAGTGTGGTGACAAAAATGAGAATGGAATAAACAGGGCTGAAATGAGGACCGGATACTTACTTGCTTGCTCAACTCAACAACTTGCACACTCCTCCCGGAGCAAAGTGAGATTCGCTCTGCTTTCCCCACTTTCTCCACAACTCGTGTCACTCCTTCTTTGTTGCTTGGTCCTCCGTTACTGGATTCCTGTCGGCAGCCGGTTGCACAGAGTTTTTTTAAGTTACAACAATTGACCCCTGGACAACCAAGGGAGGCAAAGTCAGTGGGGTTCACACAACCACGAAGCACGGCCGTGTTTTGAGGTAGCGTCTCCGAAAAGGTAAGGAGAATTCAGTCAGTCAGGGTCGAGATTTCCTGTGCAGTGTGTGTTTGTGTACGAGAGCGGACAGAAGTTGGAGCACCGTTGGTTCTTATGACTTGCATGCACGAAACGAAGAGAACTGAGCGAGCCAAGTAGAGCCAGCCGTGGTTTGGACTCTGGCGATGGTGGCAGAAGTGCGAGGAGATTTCGCCTTTGGAGGAGAGGACGCATGAGCGACGCGGTAGCACCACCACCACCAACACCAAACACCACCAACCAACCATTCGAGGTGCAGGAAGGAAAGGACGCCAAAGATGCCTTATTGCCTTCCATACCGCACCACCGACGATGTGACACACAGGAGTCGGATAGCCAGATGCACACTGCCACATATGCACCTTGACCCGAGGACCAGAGAGCGAAGGGGACGTGCATCCTTCCCCCACAAAGGGCTGCACAGAAGAGAAAGTCGAGGTGACCATTTCCCAGTAGTTGACCCTCCCAATTCCAGCACGTCCTTGAGTCGTGTGAGAGATTGCCGCATGCATGAATGGAAGAGAGGAATGATTACGTGGAATAGTGCGAAAGGTGGAATGTGGGAATTATTAGCTCTCGGCTTTTGACCCATTCGAGCCCCACCCTGGCTGCCCCACCTGAATTTTTATTGCCATGCCGCCTGTGGAGGAGAAGGTTACATGTCACGTGAGCGTAAATAATCCAAATGCAGAGGCCCAATCTGCAGTGGGCAGACAAATGTGTCCATGATGCACTCGCTGGTCATTATTTTTTTATGAATAAGGAAATGAGCGGGGAGAAGCGGCTCCTTGGATGCATCGAAGGAGCGAGGAGTGGGAGAAAGTGGTGGTGGTGGTCCTGGAGGGAGGAAGAAGAAGCCGTGGGAATCCGGGAAGGAATGCAGGAGGACTTTTTGGTAGTGGGATTGGAGGCGAGGGTGGGTTGCTTTTGGCTCCTCGGTTTGCATCTCCACTTGAATCCTGGACTGAATCATCCTCCTCCTGGCTACTGGCCTGCTTCACTTGGTCGTAGTAATGTTGGTGGAGAAAGTGAGTAAAAATTGGAGACTGGAGGAAAATCGATCCGTGATATGTGCTCTTGACTTCCTTCACCCACTTCCAACACGACCAAACCAAACCATCGCTCTTGGGCTTTGGCCAAGCACTTCTCTCCGGCCCATCCATGCCGATGCAGTTGTGACGGGAGGACGTGCAACCAAGTGCCCTCCCCCGTGCTCCAAGGAGCCCTCCATATTGGATGCCCCCCACCCACCGGAGCCCTGCACCACTCTCCCTTCCTCCTCCTCAGCCCAACCTGTGAATGAATGAATGAAAGAGAAAGTGAGAGAAAAAGCCCACACGGACGACCCACCACGGATCCATTGTCCGTGACGCAATACTCTCCACGAGAACAAGCCCAAGAAAAGGAGACCCAAACGAGTTGTCCGTGTACACATTTATTTCAATTCGACCGAGGACTGGACTTTTTTCATTCCGTCGCGGCGTCCCGTCTCAATTTGTGAAATTGACAAATTGATCCAAAAGCGGTGGTCGGTCGCGAATGATGTCGGTGTCGGGTTGAAAAATCTCGTCCTGTTGCATCGGACCAAGACGTTTGGTGGTTGTGGCCGTGGTGCGGGCTGGCTGGCTGGCTGGTTGGATGGATGAGGGATTTGCGGGACAGAGACTGGGCAGATATGAGAGAGATCTGGGAGAGATGTAATCATCTGTCGGCTGCCAAAGTGAGCAATTGAGACGCATGGATCAAGTGGAGAATGCGAACTTGAATACTTTACTTGTTACTGGGACGAGGAGAGACGACTCATAACTCAAATCCGAACATGTATCGAATTACACCTTTCAACGGCTCTCTCGGAACGATAATGACGACAAAAGGTGCACTTACATATCTGCCTATGCAAATTATTGTCATGTGTCGTACTGAATAAAAGACGGTCTCGTGCCGCCCATAATTTTGTTTTGCTTTAGTCTAAAAATACGGGTGGGTCATCTCCATTCCGTGCCATCATTTGTCAACACACAACGACGAGTATGACAATAGTGCAAGAAGACCATATACCACACAACCTCTCCAGCGGAGCCAGGAGAAATGGCTCACATTTGCCCATGCCTTCACGTATTCACGGTCCGGATTATATTACCGCCTCGAAAACCACTCCCACTCCACCCACCACGCGTTTAAGAGGAAGAAGTTTTGGGATGAAGAGCAGTATAAACATTCTCAAAGATGATGATGATGATGATGATGAGATACTTTCGAGAGTGCCGTGTCTCAATCTGTTGCACTATTTCCGTCCCACTTGCAACTTCCCCTCCACGCATTTACATATATGCTTGCCTGAGCGAGGAAAAGAATTGGAGGGCGAAAGACCACGAGAAATATTATTATTATGCAAATAAATAATAACTGCAGAGGCAAACGATGTATAAAATTATGGATGGCATGAAAACACGTGTGCTTCGTATTGACCTCGAAAAGTCACGTCAATTACAAGACGTCCACGCAGTTGTAACGCATTTCACCTCCTCCTTTCATGTCCTGGCGACTGGTTGCTTGTGTTCTTCGGAGGGAATACAATGTCGCGAACACAACAAGTTTTACTGAACACAAAGTGAAAGCGACTTTGTCAGTCGTCGTCGAACACGGAGAAAGACTTTGAAGTTGTGAGAAGGAGAGAGTTGTTGGTCACTCGTATTGCGGGCTATAAATAGGAGTTTGTGCATGCATGGTTTGCAACGTGCTTGCATACATGGTCCCAAGGGAGGAAGATTTAGGGAAAAATCAGAGCAATTCATTCGTCTAATAGGTGCGATGAGGACGACCGGTGGTGTTAGGGAGAGTCGGAAGGAAGGGATTTGGGGGAGAAGGAGGGCTCATGTTTAGAGGGTCGTGGGTGGGTGTATTTGAGTGGAGAAAGTAAATGACAGAGTAAACAAGGAGACAGGAGGCGGATGAATAATTGACTCTTTGTTTACTCACGACGCGCAGAGGGCTTAAGGTCTCCGCTCCATTATTCATTGGCAGTGGGTTTACACACGTAGGACCACCAGCAAAAGAGGGGCAGGCCCATGAACAAAACTGCATATTATTCACAACATGATGACAAACTTTCTCCAAACACTTTGCACAATCCAAGCTCAGTATACAAATAAATGCACAAATTTGCCCCTTCATTCATAGCTCTTGCCCACACCCGACAGTGCCCCACGGCACCAAGGTCTCGCTCTCTCGTTCTCAGACACCCACAAGCTGGCTCTATTTCGATCTCTTAATATTCTAGGCTTATTTCATATCAAAGTATCAACAGCTAAATCTGCAGCGTCCTCCGTCACCACCACGACGGACGGCCATGCAGCAGGCAGTCAAAGCCCCAATAAGAGCAGGAGCAGGATCACTCGATGGAATAATAGCGAGTAATGAGTGATGAGTACGTTTTATAATTTAACTAATCATCTCCATTATTATCCGATACAGTGGCTGCTGCTCCGAGGACGGGTTTTGTTTCATGATTATTAAGCTCAAGTCTACAACCTCGTCGTCATCATCACACGCCGGATAAGAGAGACTCGTACGTTGTATGACATCCCGACAAGTGTGTCCTACTCCGTCGTGACTGCTCCCAAAGTGGGAACTTCGTGACTTTTCCTTCCTCTGCTAATCTGGATCTCTCACCTAACCAACTTTAAAGTGTGTGCAGTTCCCAAATCAAAATCCAACTTTATCCACTCTCCCCCCTGCTCATGCATTCAGGCGAATAACAATATTTCCAAATTCTCACCTTAAACTTGAACACCGGCACGTTTCCAAACACACGAAGACGACAAATAAATCACTAAAATAACAAGATTTCCATTTCCAGGCTAATATTTGGCTTTGTCGTGAAACGAATATTTTCAGATCTTTTTTTTAAAAACAAGACATGCACTGATACACTGAACAGTCTGAAACACGCACGCATGCATTCACCACAAAAAGTGAAGCAGTGTGGGTTACCTACTCCGTAAAGCACACGTTTACAGAGTGTGTACCAACAATGGCCAAGCAGCAGTGCACTCGGCTCCCAAAGTCCAGTCCAGCAGAATTTCAACTAAATTAAAAAAGCGTTCGCACACAGAATATCACGGGATATTTACGATACGCCATTTTGCCATTAGGATCATGTCTGCCGTCCATCAATACCAATTCCCTCTCGTCCGTCCATTTTCATTCACAAGTCACACAGACGATGAGACGACTCTTGCTCGGGATTGCCGTGGGGGATAAGGACGGAAAGTATAAAATTGGGATTTAATAAGTACTTAACCCAGATATGTATGGATGACCACCAGCCAGTCAACCTCCTCCTCGTGTGTGGGAATTTCTGGAGCAGTAGTGGACAGGCTGCGACTATGTACATATTTACATACATTGACTCAGGATAGTTAATGGCTAGCATCAATTCATAATCAAATATCCACGATACTTATTTTCCGTGTGTAATTCATTGTAGCGTGTGGACTGGGACTATTGTACTGCCTCCACCTCCACCCTCGCTCATGGCGTGTGTGTTCTGGAAATGGAGCGAAACGAGAGGTGCAAGTGGCATATGCAGAGAGAGAGAAGCAGAGAGCTTTGAAATGCGAAACCTTCAACTTGTAAACTAAATCTCATTGATCTCTCCACTCCCATCCAGCGCAGATATCGGAGGAGGATAAAATATGCTAAACTCGGAATTATTGCACAAGTCTTCACGGGAACGATTAGATCGGCCGAGAGAAAGAGCGAGATCAATGTTCAGCCACACACACACACGGTTCCATTTCGAATTATACTGACAAGAACACATTTGGCATGATCTTGAATTCATAGCGGTGATCGTACTTTTATTAATGAGTCGACAACATCTCGAACGAAACTGTGCAGTTCAAGTTCAAGGATTTTACCAGCATGTACTTACTTGCTCTTCACCTTGGGAAGCATGTGAGTAAGTAAAGTCCTCTCTTTGTTCCCATACACATTTGTCCCATACATGCTCAACAACGCGATCCCATTACAAACAAAAGGCGACTTAACTATGCATGCTGACGGATGAATATTATGCAGAGTACACGGATGATGATTGATGAAGACACAACCTGAAGCTGCGGCTTGACATGGA